GGGTGGGCGGGGCGAGCAGCAGCAGCAGCAGCAGCAGCAGCAGCAGCAGCAGCAGCGGCGCAGCAGCGGTGCTGCTGCGGGTTGCTCGTGCGGGTTTAATATTCTGGAGAAGAAAACCTCTTTTTAGGGTTTAGCGGGGAAAGAAGAAAAGGGTTTGGTGGGGCGGCTGGGCGGGGCTGGGGGGGCGGGGTGTCTGCTGCTGCTGCTTGGTGTCTGGTTTCTGGTTAGCTGCTGCAGCTACCGCTGCAGCAGCATTAGCTGCTGCAGCTGCGCTGCAGCAGCATTGTCTGGAATCCGCCTGAAAACTCCCGCTGCGCTCTAAAACAGCAGCAGCAGCAGCAGCGCAGCAGCAGCAGCCGCCGCAGCAGCAGCAGCACCGCAGCAGCAGCAGCGGCCGCAGCAGCGGCGGCCCGCGCGCCTCCCCACTGCCTCGCTGCGGGGCGGCTCTGCGGGGCAGCGCCTCCCCCCCTTCTCCTCTGTACACTTTTATAATTCTTTTCGAAAAAGTATCTTTTGCTGCTGCTGCTTTTGCTGCTGCTGCTGCTGCTGCTGCTGCTGCTGCTGCTGCGAGGATGGGGAAGGAGAAGACGCACATAAACCTGGTGGTGATCGGCCACGTGGACAGCGGCAAGAGCACCACCACTGGCCACTTGATTTATAAACTCGGAGGAATTGACAAAAGAACTATTGAGAAGTTCGAAAAAGAGTCCTCGGAAATGGGAAAAGCTTCTTTCAAGTACGCGTGGGTGCTGGACAAGCTCAAGGCGGAGCGCGAGCGCGGCATCACCATAGACATCGCTCTGTGGCAGTTCGAGACCCCCGCTTTCCACTACACAGTCATTGACGCGCCGGGGCACAGGGACTTCATCAAAAACATGATTACGGGCACTTCTCAAGCCGATGTCGCGCTTCTTGTGGTCCCCGCGGATCAGGGAGGGTTTGAGGGGGCTTTCTCCAAGGAAGGTCAGGGGATTTGCTGCTGTTTGAGGGGCTTTTTGTTGCTGCTGCTGCTGCTGCTGCTGGTTTGCTGCTGTGGGGTGTTTTTGGGCGTTTTTCGCGGATTTGGGGTCTTTTTCGCGCGTTTTTGGAGAGAATGAAGAAGTTAAATGAATACAGAAATCCATTTGGGAGGATTTGCCGTTTTTTGGAGCTTTCTGCTGTTGTGGGGTGTTTATATCTCGCGGAACAAATGCAATCCATTTGCTGCTGCTGCTGCGGATTTGCTGCTGTGGGGGTTTTCGGGCGTTTTTCGCGGATTTGGGGTCTTTTTCGCTCGTTTTTTGCGGGAGTGAAAGAGTGAAGGGAATAAAGAAGTCCATTTGAAAGGATTTGCCGCTTTTTGGGTCTTTTTGCTGTTGTGGGGTGTTTATATGTCTCGCGGAATAGCTGCAATCTCCTTGCTGCTGCTGCTGCTGTCTCCTTTCTCCATCTGTCTCCTGTCTCCAGGTCAAACCCGCGAACACGCTCTCCTCGCCTTCACTCTGGGAGTGAAGCAAATGATAGTTGGAATAAACAAAATGGACGCAACAACTCCCGAGAAGTACAGCGAGTCCCGCTTCAACGAGATCCAAGCCGAAGTCTCCAGATACCTGAAGACCGTCGGCTACAACCCCGAAAAAGTCCCCTTTGTCCCCATCTCCGGCTTCGTCGGAGACAACATGGTGGAGCGCAGCAGCAGCATGCCCTGGTACAAAGGCAAGACCCTAGTAGAAGCCTTAGACAGCGTCGAACCCCCCAAGAGACCAGTGGACAAACCATTAAGACTTCCTCTCCAAGACGTCTACAAGATCGGAGGAATAGGGACTGTCCCCGTGGGCCGCGTGGAGACAGGCATATTAAAGCCCGGCATGGTGGTCACCTTCGCCCCCTCGGGTCTCCAAACTGAAGTCAAGTCCGTCGAAATGCATCACTCTCAATTAGAACAAGCAGTCCCTGGAGACAATGTGGGGTTTAATGTCAAAAATGTCTCCGTCAAGGACGTCAAAAGGGGACACGTGGCCTCGGACAGTAAGAACGATCCCGCGAAAGCTGCTGCGAGCTTTCAAGCCCAAGTCATAGTGCTGCACCACCCGGGGCAGATTAACCCCGGCTACACTCCGGTCTTGGACTGCCACACAGCCCATATTAGTTGCAAGTTTGCGGAGTTGGAGAAGAGATTAGATCGGAGAAGTGGAAAAGCTCTCGAGGACTCTCCGAAGTCGATTAAGTCCGGAGACGCGGCGATCGTCAAGATGGAGCCCAGCAAGCCCATGTGCGTGGAGGCCTTCATAGAGTACCCGCCGCTGGGCAGGTTTGCAGTGAGGGATATGAAGCAGACGATTGCGGTGGGGGTTATTAAGGCTGTTGAGAAAAAAGAGGCTGGGGGGAAGGTCACGAAGAGTGCGCAGAAGGCAGCTGCCAAAAAATGAGAAAAAACGGAAAAAAACGAGCGGTTTTACGACCTGCTGCTGCTGCTGCTGCTGCTGCTGCTGCTGCTGCTGCTGCAGCAGCGGGGGTGGG